GTTTGTCCTTCCTTTTCCACTTTGTAAGATAAGAACATAGTATTGTCATTACAAACATGGATTGTAGCACCGGAATCAAGCCACCAATCAGAGGATCTAAATGCAGCCATGTTAGTTTCGGTGATCATGCCAATTTGCAATTCCGAGACCATAGCACATATGTCTTCGGATTTCTCTTCAACAGCATTGACATTGTTGGTGTTCACTTCTTCCTTTTTCTTCTTGTATCTGCATTCATTTTGGCGATGGCCTTTCTTTCCACAAAAGAAACAATTTCCAGAAAATTTCTTTTGGCCATTACCGGGCTTTTTGAACTTCTTGTCATTATTGACTTTGAAGTTCTTTGAAAACTTACTAGCTTCGGCAACATTAACTTTAGAGGAATCTACATTTTTGTTCTTGGAATCACGAGACTTGGTCTCTTCTTCGATTCTCAAGTGTTTTTGTAATTCCTCTAAAGTTATGTCATCTCTCCTATGAAGAAGTTTCTTTCTATAACCATTTCAACTTTGAGGCAATTTAGCAATAATTGCCCCCACTTGGAATGATTCAGAAATCTCAACCTTCAATTCACGAAGCTTAGTAACAATGACTTGCAATTCATGTATTTGATCTAGAACGGACTTGGTATCAACCATGACAAATTCTAGAAATTTCAAGATAAGAAATTTGTCCGTACATTCTTTCTCAGTTTTGTATTTGTATTCGAGAGCGTTCCAAATCTTCACTGGAGACTCCATCAAATTGTAAAATCGTAGAGCCTATCGGAGAGAGTGTTGAGAATATGACCCCGGCACATGATTTCATCATCTCCACGCTTCTTCCTTGCGATCTTCAATTCTTCGGAATCGTCCTCCTTTGGTTCAGAAAGTGGGTCCAATTTTGGATCAAGCACATAGGCGATCTTAAGCACGGTGAGAAGGAAGAACAACTTTCCCTTCCAGCGGGTGAAGTTGGTACCATCAAAACGATCAAGTTGAACATTTGGATTAAGGAAAGACGTCATGTTCTTTTCAACCTCCATTGCAGCAAGTTAAAACCTTAAAGATTGTTGAAAAAATTCGAAATTGGGAGGATGAAAAGAATAGAGAAAGCAGAAAGAGGGTTTGAGGCGTATAGGAATACTTTCCTTTAAGGTTTTATTTGCCCTCACTTCTCAAAGTTTGCTAATGAGTTTTAAATGGTAAATTACCCCCAAGATACAACAAACCCTTGAACACAATATCCAGCAAAAAATATTGAGTTCCAGAACAATAAATCTATATTTTCTGAAGTCCATCAAATAAAGACAGAAATGCATCCATCCTCTTTAAGTGTTACAACCTTTCACATAAAGATACCTTTTCAATTTGAAGGTTATCTTTTATATGCTGATGCACTTATATCAATAGTTATTTCTATTGTTAATAAGTGCTCAGATATGTGAGAAAACATATCACAAACAGATGCAATGGTTCGAGACATTTTCAGATCACTAAAACACACGAAAACACATTTTCCGTCAACAATTTGCGCTGCAGCGCCCAAGAGGCGCGCGGGCTTAGCAAAACAGAGCAAAACAGACCCAAGAGGTCTGTTTTGCGCAGGCTGCAGTGCCCATACGCGCGCTGCAGCGCACGGGCCTAGCAAAATAGATCTTTTTAATCCAATTTTGTGATATCAAGATTGAGAGATATATTACAATCTCTCTAACAAGGGCAACTCATAATGACAACATATATAGCGATTACATCCCTTAGAAGCCTAGCAATAGATCAAATCCGTGCTATCTATTATTATTATTATTATTATTATTATTTTTGTTTCTAATTTTATGTATTGTTCATCTACAAGAGATGAACCTTAATGAGGTCACATTTGATGCGATTTTTTACCGTCAACAACAATAATTAATCACACATTTGAGCTGAGTTATTTGATCTATTGTTCGGCCGAAAGAAATTTAATAGCCTTTGTACTTCAAAAAAGGGAAAATTTTAATTTAAAGCAATTAAAAAAGAAGAAAGAAAGATATCATAAATGAGAATTAATTAATGCCGCGTTTTTTTTATTCTTCCTTCTTTCTTGTTGTTTCCTTCTGTTATCGTATCCATGTGGCTGTTATAACCACAGAATGTTGTACACCAATTTATTAAATGTGCATTGAAATGGTTAAAGATACTAATTAACAACTCAAGTCTGGCATAATCAAAGTGAAAATAGAATGGCTAATTGTCGTACGAGATATACACGTTGAAGGCGTGAAACACAGATGAATATGATGTTTGCGTCGTATATGACCTAGATAGTAGGAGAATTCAAATAGTGATTTCAACATTAATATTTAAATTTTAGTACGATTCCCTCAATATATATATATATATATATATATATATGATTCTCATCAGGTAAAATTTTCTTCTAGCATATTACGTTGTTAATTAATCTAAGAATATTCTTTTTTAAATGCAAAATATTCTAATCAAAAGATTAATTATTTGCATATATATGTTTCATCTAGTAATAATTATATGCAATTTTAAATTGTCACAATTAATTATAACCAACTACAATATATAGCAGTGGCAACCTTAATAGGGCGTAATGAAGTACTAATTTTATTTTGAAGAATAATTAATCAAAAAAATATATAAAAAGACAATATAGTACAGCAATATTAACCAGGAAGAACTCTTCAAACTCGGGGTAATAAATATAAGTGAAATTTGTTTATCACACCAAGATCAGTACAGTTCAACATTAATTTATAGCTTAACTTACGTTTCACGTGAAAAGTTTAGTTAGATAATATGTTTTTATCAAAAACGTACTTGATCTGTCCCAGTACATCTCAAAAAGATTGTTGGATAAGTAGCGTTTATCCTAATTTTCTACGACTGCATACATTATATGTAGCTAAAATCCGAGCAATGCATTTTCATCTTACCCTTAAAACGCTCTGCCTTAATTTAGATTCCTTCCTCGTCTTTTGGTTTGTGAAAGGTCTATAAAAACGAAACAATATTTAAGGACTCAAATTCTTTTTGTTTTTTCAATTAGCACATTGATTGAAAATCTATTGTAAGAAATAATTACTTCGTCGCTAGTCACTACAAGAAAACAGCGACGGCATTTGTCGTGGTGTTAATTTGACTAGCTAATACGATTGAGTCATACACATTTATTGTTAGCCCACTAATTCTCACTAACTGTATTCGTTTGTTATTAATTAGTGGTGTAATTTCGTGGAAGCTGCATGTGATGAGCTTAGGAAAATTAGAACCGCCAAAACTAAAGGGCATTTTAATTAGTGAATTCATGTACATACATATGCATACATACACGCATATATGGATATACTAGTTGTAATCATGTGTACTAAGTTTGTTGAAATTTTTTTACATAAATATTAATAATATTTTTAAAGGTTTAATACCTTTTCTTAACTTTTATTATTTTAGTACTGCCATTTAGGGAAAAAAAAAAAAAGTGATAATTTTTTCTCAAATAAAAAATTATTTTTTACTGGATTATTAAAAAGTATTTGAATAGTATATTTGAGAAAAAATAAAATATTTAAACCGGGGTAAATGAAAAAAAATTTATTGAAATAAATTTAAAATGCATTATGTAATTATATTACGGGAAAGGGAACACAAAAAGAGGTACCTCAAAAAAAAAAAAAAATTTATAAGAAGAAATGAAAAAGAAGAAGAAGAGGACAAATGACAAGACAAAACAGAATGACAATTGCTATAACACATTTACCCGATTATTTGATACATAGCTGGGTCAAAACGTAAGAAAAATGGGGGAAAAGACAAAAGGTAAAAAACCGCAAAATACATAACAGTTATACAAAATAACTCATTTATATTTCCAAAGAAAAATAACTCACTTATATAAAAGTAATATATACATGGGCGTAGTTTGAAGAATAAATGAGAAGAGACAGACATATAAAATTCAGTTTTGAGGGAGGATGCACATATGTATCTTTTTAAATTTTCGGAGAGCAAACTACAGCTTTTAGCAAAATATACCTATATAGTTAAAAGAAAAGAAAAATTTCAAGTGGGGCAGCTTCCTAGTACTCTCAATAATAAGGTGTAGTTTCACCCCTATATATATATATATATATATAAAATTTACACATATATTATAAGCTATATTTACGTATATATATATGATGTACAGTAGAAGCTTAATTAGAAAAATCAAAACAAATATCGTTGATTCATAAATAATGCTGAAAATTGAAAAAAAAAAGAAAAAGAAAAAAAGAAGAGAAGTTTAAGCCCTCAAGTTTTATTCATAAAAAGTTCTTCTTTCTTAAATATGGTAGAACTTGTATATTTATAGGCTATCTTGCCTCAAACTGTAACAGCAAACTACAAATAAGAATAGAAAAATAAATAATTCTGAAAATTAAAAATAAAAAGGATACTAACTTATATTTGACTCAAGAATTAAGTAAAAAATGACACTTCATGTTTAATCATTATAAAAACTAAATCTTTTTAATTTTAAAAATGGTAATTTAATTAATTGGAAACTTCTAAGAACAGAATTTAACTTCTCTTTTACAAGTCAAAAATATTGATTTTTTTTTTCGGGCAGCATCAACATATATACATATATTACTATCATACGTGGGGAACATATACATACCATCACGAGACAAATCTTATCCTCCAACAATTGTATGCATACGTGTATATATATAAATATATATATATATATATAAATTGGCTGAACAGTCAATAATTCAGTTGCATATGTATATATATCCCTTCACATACATACAACTAATGTTTGTCATTCCGAGCCTTATTCATTTATACCAACCAAATCAAGAAAGCGTAGCTAACCGTAGTGCTACTCTCTCTCTTTGATCCCCACTTTACTGATTCTCACACCTCCCTTAGATCTTCACCAAACCCTCTCAATACTATTAAATCTGCAAAACCCCACAAAATAATCATACAAACCCAAATAATATTAAGATGTTCAACAACAAAATGAGTGGGACTAAAAACTCAGGTCAAGTTCCTCAAAAGTCTCTCCAAATTGAACAAGATGACAAGTTCTTCTCAAGGCTTTTGTCCAAGGAAAGCTCCATGGCTTACCCCTCTTCAAGAGTTCTCTATTACGGCGGTCGGCCGGGCTCCGTTCCGTTCTTGTGGGAGTCTGAGCCAGGGACACCAAAATCCAAATCTTGTGGTTATGAGTCTCTTGTTCCTCCTCTCACTCCTCCTCCTTCCTACTACTTCAATACTTCCCACAAGAAAAAAAACATTCAAAAACGCTCAAGATCATCCAATCTCTTAAACACCCTTTTTCCGAAAAAGATGCCTAATATTAGTCTTAACAAGAAAACACCTTATTCCTCAAGTGCCTTACCTAATTCACTTTGGTCTTCAGAGAACTCATCCATGCTTGTTTCGTTGAACAATGCTCCGACCGCGGTGGGGGCGTTCTGTGGCCGGAGTAGTACTACTAGCCGGTTTTCGAGCTCAAGTTCGTCGTCGTTCGATTGGAGAGGACAAGAAGAGGATCACGAAGTTGGTTCCCCTAATTCAACTTTGTGTTTTGGCTGTTACCGTCTTTGATAAAAGAGAGCAAAAAGCTAGCACTTGCTATGAATAATTGTCAATTGGCATTTGGATCTGGCCAAGGTATTACTTGCTTAATAATAGATATGTTCTCTCTCTCTCTCTCTCTCTCTCTCAACATATATACAATATTTGTTTATGTGTCATGTTTTGTTAATTTACTTGTCTTTAGGTGCTCGGATTAAGGACGTTAAATATAATTATATGATCATCTCATATTGTACTACCAAAGAACTTCTGTCTAATGTATGGTATAGTACTAAATCGTTGATCTGAAAATTACGTGTTTATATATATATATATATATAGTTAATATCAAGTGGCCGCAGGATTGAGGAATGAGGACACCATTTATCTTTTTTTTTTTTTTTTTTTTTTTTTTTTTTTTTTTTTTTTCCAAACAATTTTTTTCTTACCTTCTAAAAGTGTATGTTGTAAATTAACTACTACGTAAATAAACCGTCTCATCATCCATATATATAATGCTTGTCCTTTGTCTAGTTCAATAGATTTCTCAAATTTAGGATACATGATAAACAATGAAATCTTAGATAAAAGTGGCTAACGATTATCATGTCAAACGGTTACGTAGGTTTAAATTTAAAGATACAGATTCGATCCTAATATGTAAAAAATAAAAAAATAAAAAAAAGTCCTACATAAATTGACGTGGTCGATTATTGTAGTGCCCAAGCTTGGTTCATTTTATCAGATAATACCCAATTATTATCACTTGTTTTCCCAAACCCCAACCAAAAAAAAAAAAAAAAGGAAAAGAACTCAATCATTGAATGTTGTACACCCAATATACGCATATCAAATACCCAGTTGTTGCTCACTGTGAACAAAAGCTTTGCATTTTAGAATTAGTGGTCTCTGAGCATCCAACCACATTTGAATGAAATGCTCCTTTCCTTAGAGGCTTATGTTTTTTGCTAATCACCTTAGAGGCTTATGTTAGTAATATATAATAGTACTAGCACACATATATATATATATATATTATCACATGATCATACTATATGATTGGAAAAAATTCGTGATGTTGAGAACGATGATATACAATAAATATAGAATCTTAGTAATCCGTATATATGGTTTTTTCACTTTCTTCTTTATGTGGATTTGAAGCCAATTCATATGTTTTTTTATACGGATTTCTTCTTGCTAATTTCTAATTCCCATCTTTTGGATAGGGAATTATAAAATGATGTTGTGCATTTGGTGATTAATTATTTATTGTTGGCAGATATTGTTGGTCTAGATCTTTTTCTCTTCTTATTCTTGCTCTGGTTTTTAATGCAAAAGGGAAAAATAGATGTAGCTGGTTCCTATCATAATCTTGGTAGTTCATCTTCCAGTCCTGCTATGTGTGTTTGTGTGTGTGTGTGTGTGTGTATATATATATATATATATATATATATCATTTTTTCACTTATTTTTTATTATTTACTTATTGTTTTTTTGGATTCGTTATCTAGCTTGTCCTTATTAACATCTTTAAAGTTCCGTCATTTATTCGATCAGGAAAATATTAAGTTTGTCTTACTCGGATCATTTAGATACGTAAAGTTTTAAATTATCACAAGTTTTTTTTTCATTGACCACTAAGAGATGTGACGTCTATTTTTGTTAGCTAAATTAGCTAAGCCTTCTCGATCAACTTGATTTGACTCTCAGTAACATAAAAATAAATTAATTAGTATTTTGGACTCTTTAATTTATACTTCACGCTCAAGCCAGTAAATTTCTAAATACTAAGATTCAAAATGATGCTAGCAGCCTTGCTAACTGAGACATTAGAGAAGAATTGGGTTGAGAATACGATTGAGACAGACGTACAAATTTTCTTAAAATTTTTAAGAAGGCCTCATTTTCAAGGAGTAGATCGTGTTTTAACCTATCATCCTCTTTTCAGCTCGGGCAGTTTTAATTTCGATAGCCTACATCAAGATTTTCTAAAAAAATTATAAGATTTTGATTTACTATTATTTTTGTTTTGTTTTGCTTCTTTAGAAGTTGTAATGGAAGTTTCTTGACTTAGATAGAACTAATCTTCAAAAGCTAGTTTAAAAGGAAATAGATCGAGGTCTAATTAATCCATCATCGCTAGCAAAAATATGACTCTGATATCATATTAAATGGACTTGGGCAGAACTCGTACTTAAAAACTAGCTCAAGAAAGTGTATAATCCACACATAAACAGCATAGCAACCCACTAAATTTAGAGATGTGGAACAAATTCTCTTCTAATAAACCTCTCACAATCCTCTCTCTTGATTGTATTAAAAAAACATAATAATAAGTGCAATTTACATGAGGGCTATAGTGGAGACAAATATTAAAGAGGAAAAAAAATAAAGAACTTTTGAGAAAATGAAAATCAGCCTCAACCCTCAAGGCTTGAGGTATACTGTGTGTTTATATATATATATGTATAGATATATATATATATATATATATATATATAGTCCTGTGACATTCCTTTGTATACCCTCAATTATTAAAAGCATAAGGTAAGTGGAATCGCCCTTGCTGGGTCCAAATTCTGAGCTGTTTCACAGTTCCATCTCTCGAACCTACCAAGAAATTAAAACCAATTACCAAGCAGACAAAAAAGAAGACCAATAAACCAAAAGAGCACCAAACATAAGATTTCAGATTTTTGCATATTTTTTCAGTGTTTATTTAATGATGAGGGAGGTAGAGAACCAAAGCGAAAAGATCAAGACAAAACAAAAATAAAAAATAAAAATAAATAAAGAGCAACTTTCACAATCAGACAGTTTTATCAAGTAGTTGTCAATTGTCATAGCACATGATCAAATCTTTACTCTAAAAAAAACTCTCAACTTGTCGGCAGCCCCTACGGATGCGTACCATATTGCTGGTGGAAGCAGCGTGTCAAAGCACTCCTATTTATCCTTGATCCATAATTTTTATCAAAGCACTCTTATTTATCTTTAAAACCTTGCTACTCACAAAAAGTAGATCCCATTTTAAAGATGAGATCTAAGTTAGTGAGACCCACTATTTCGTGAGTGATGAGATTTTATTCCATCTATTTTTATTTTGATCATAGATCTGTACAAACATATCCCCCTTCACAAGCTTTCAAATATGTCTTTATCTATTAATTCGTTATAGCTAATTTTCTTTTTAGTGTTTACTTGTTTATTAAAAATGATAAAAAAAAAAACAATCTACTCCATTTTTAAGAATTATTATTCATTATGAGAAAAGAGGCAAGGTGTCTCTGGGGACTCTCTTTATATGTAGCGTTTTTGTAGGGGTTGGCTTAGGGATCGGGTTTTTGGATGGGAATAAGCGGTCTACCTAATATGTTAAGGGGGCAAAACCAGTGTCCTCAAATTAGACAAAACAAGACTTTTTTTTTTTTTTTTTTTTTTTTTTTTTTTTTTTTTTTTTTTTGTGATGAAGTTGATAGATGTTGAGAAACATCTCCATACCTACCAATATTATGAGAACAGACATGCTTGTGCAAAAAATAGGTAAATTTTTTAAAGGGAAAACACCATAACTATCTCTCAAGATGGTAAAAAAAAATATTGTTTATACTATTTTACTAAAAAACTAAATAATTACTGTTGTGTGGGAAAATTCACGTGACACGTCGGATAATGGCCATGCTCCACGTGGTCCAGTGCCTATCACGCCACGTTGTCCTTGATGCTTCGGAAGGTCCTTCTCCTCTGAACGATGCGAAAGCCGGGTGCACAGAAGGTATATCGTCGACTCCATTTGGCCGGTCAGATGCCAAGTGCTACGATAGGATCGGCGCCCTAGAGCGCAGGCACCGAGGGTAAGCCGTGAGCAACAGGGCTCATACCCCGAGAAAGGGCCTTGAGGTGACACGTTGGAATCCCAAGGTGGCGTCTGGAGTTGGGCGGGGTCAGATGTACATGGAATGATTACAAATCCCCCTAAACCGCCTAGAGCAGATCAATCGGCACTACAGAGGATCTGCAGAGCCGTAATAGGAGGACAAATTGGGTGAGTGAACAGTCCCAAGGACACTGGCAGGCTACGGATTGGACAGGCAAGATGGTAGCCCACTCGAGTGAGTGGGCCAGAGGGGAACCGCCAAAGAAAAAGTCCAAGGGAAAGCCCACGGTGGGAGGAAGGATGCCTCTGGGCTATAAATAGGAGAAAACCCCTGAGAGAAGGGGTTGGATCTCCATTTGTTCATGTAATCTGTAAAGAACCAAACAAGTGAAATATACTACAGTGGATGTAGCTCTTGTTCTATAAGGGTGAACCACTATAAAACCTGTGTCTTTTATTTTGTAGAGGAGAGATAATATTCTTATTCAGTAACCTACCTAAAAATACAACCAAACTTTCATATTTAGCAAAAATACTAGTTCCGAACTGGTAACCACGTGGGATACCGCGGGGTAACCTGGTATGACTTTGTTGATGAAATTTGACCGTCAACAATTGGTGACTCCACTGGGGACCGAACCCAAAATCTCTAGTTCGCGCGTTTAACCCCGGACAAAAGCAGTCATGCCTTGAGGGAGGAGAAATGACGCTCCAAATCAAAACAGGGAGACGGAAGAAAATACGACGCGCCCGACCAACGGCGGGAGTGGAGGGAACCGGCCCGACTAGGGGAATCAACCCCCGGTGAGGGATGAGGTTCCACCCCCAGGTGCGCCACAGCTTGATCCGGTACAGTTGCAGGCCCAGGTGAGCACTCTGACCAACTTGGTTCTGGGGCTAACGGCCATTGTAGAGCGGATAGAAGGGAGAAACTCTATGCCCCCTTTGGAAGATGCCTCGAGACCACCGAGAGCTACCTTGGCTGGGAACCAGAACTCTAGTGACCGCCAAGGTGCCCTGGAAGGGATCAGGGACAGTGAAAACGCCAGGGGAGGCATTCAGAGACCTTGACCATCTAGGTCCCTCGGCAGCTGGTGAAGGGCCGCCAGGCGACGAGCCCAGGAGAGAAGAGTGCTCGACGGCTTGGACA